CCAAAAAAAATCTGATTGGAGAAGGAGGGCTGCAGAGATGTGATTGGCTGGCTGAGGAGATGTGATTGGAGAAGTGGAAGGGGGGCTGCAGAAATTTTATTGGAGAATAGGGGTCTGCGGAGATGTGATTGGAGAAGGGGGGGCTGCAGAGAAGGACAGTGTCAGCACCAATTCAGAGATGATTTTAGGATCTACAGCTGAGTGATACACAAATAAGATAGATTTTTGTTGATAGTTAAGTTATTTGAATGCATTTTTAAGAATTAACTCCTGAGTTTACTGTCACTCTAAACTGTCGCACTGTAACATTCATTTTACATTTTAAATGTATTAGCATGTTATTTCTTTAAAAGATTATACCTTCTAATCTGTTAGGTTTACCGAAAAATGGCCTGTCTTAAAGCGGAAGTTAAGAGGTTTTAAAAAAAAGTGCTGCGGAGGTGTTTGCCATAATCTGCTAATAAGCACAGCATAATATACACATTCCACACTCCAAACCATGGAAAGTGCAGGGTGAAAAATGAGCCACTGTTGCATGAATTTCAGAATGAATAATGAACCTGAGATGAAAAGCATAGTAAAGCACTTTCCCATTAAAGTACAAATATTGGGTCAATCTTGTCTGATGACATTTTCACATGGACATATTTTGTTTGATGCAATTTTCGTTGAGCAAATCTTATTGGAAAATGCAAAAACCACTGTTGTAGAGTGAATGTGGAAGATCGAATCTTGACCGCAACAGGGGCAAATTTCTAATCTAATCAATAATACAAATAACCCCATAGGGTTGGACACCAGATGCACACACAAAATTAAGGTAAAACTGAAGAACACCATTATTCTTTTATTATCTCATAGAGATCATAACAATACTATATATGTAATTCACAAAGTATTCCATTATGTCATTGCAAGTATTTCATTTACATAGAACTGGTTTACAAAGTAATTGCCAACAGGACAAGAACAGACAACAAGGAAAAGTGCTAATTATGTACCAGGATATAAAAAATATGCTCATAATTTTAACGAGACCACTGTAAGAACATGATTCTGCTGATGAGATAAGCGTAATTCTTTATGTTTGTATGGCAAGACTTGGCATAATATTACACTGGTATACAGAAAATGAATACACATAGGCAAGTAGTGAAGCTTTCACTACTAACGTCCCCGAATCTTAAGCATTTGGTCGTATTTACCAAACAGCCTGTTGATTTATATTAATATAGCTTTACTAAGACTTATAGTTTATTCCTTCATATATATCATATACCAATAAACAGCTTAATTGCTGAAAGTCTATTTTCCTGTAACAGGATGATACAGTTCAGTTTGCATAGTCACAAAGGATTCATAAAAACATGAGGTTCCACCGTGATAGCAATATTAAGCCCCAGACATGATCATATTTATATGTATGCAGAAGTAACACCATAAAAATGGTGAACCAAATGCATGTAGTCCTAAATATTGCATGGAAGATGATTTGCTCATGTTAGAGTTCTACTGAGTAGCCATCATAGGAAAGCGCAGTCTGGCAGTCACAAGGTGCCGTTTGTGTTTCATGGTGAGTCCATACAGAGGGGACATATCCAGCTTCTCAACATCTTGTATTGAAAATTGCAACTGGTGGAACAGGGTGGTGAGGAAGAGGAAAACTTCAGTTCTGCCAATGGCTTCACCAAGGCATCTTCTCTTGCCCAAGCCAAAAGTCAGGACTTTCTCCATCTCAATTTTGTTTATTGATAAGCCGTCCTCATGTAGGAAGCGTTCTGGTCTGAAGTTAAATGGGTCTTTCCACAGTTTCCTAAGGTAGTAGAAGACGCAAAAGGTCTTAGTATAAAAGACAAGCAGAAAACAACATCCTGAAGTATAAAAAGTTGCAGCTATTAGAGAATCTAAAGTGTGTATTTACCATTATTTTGCCTTCTACACAAATATATTTTAACTATTGAATAGAAATCCAAAATAAAAAAAAGATACACAGTTGGACACCTGTACCCCTCAGCATCTACACATTGCTCCCAGGGCTGCACATCTTAAGGGTCGATGATGCACTTTTGGTGGTCCTGCACTATAGTAATCAGGTATTGGTCCAACATCTTTCATCTACTCTTTAGAACCCCAACCAAGAGAGACCCATAGCCAGCCTTGCCAAACAAAGCTCTACATAAAATTCAACAATAACTGGCCACCTTTGTGCTCTTTACAACCAAACTAATGCATCTGCCTGGAAGAAGCAAACCTTGTTTGTTTTTTAACAAACCAAAAACCATGTGGTTTCATGAGCAACACAAAACTCATATATATTGATAATAAATTCCTACTATCATGGACACCCTGGCTTAAATATGGGCTTCCCTCAATAAGTTCTTACTCAGGTGCTCATCTTAAATCACTATTAAAGGCATCATACATAATGGCTGATTCCGGACGGCCACGATCCACTACCATGACCCCTAAGCTACTGCTCGCGGTATACTGAGACGCCGCAGCTGAAGCGGATCTAGACAATTATGTCTGGATCCGCCCAGCTGCGTGAGTGACAGCTGGCTCTGCCTATCTAGAGGCAGAGCCAGCTGTACCCGCCCCCTCCCCCGTCCGTTCCGCCAGTCAGCGCTGACGGATGGGAGCAGGGAGGGGGGGCATTCAGCCCATCCCCTGTCACGGCAGAGAGCTGTGACAGGATCGGGAGATGAGCGAACACCGGTATGTGTTCGCTCACTTCCCGATCTACTGAGCCGACCTGTGACAGTCCTATTGTCACAGGTCGGCTAGAACTATGAGGTGAGTGAAAAGCACTCACCTCATAGTTCTCCTTTAACAAAAATAATAGAAACAACAACAAAAAAGATACTTACGGATCATGATTCACTTGCCACTGGTTGATCATCACACATATACCCTTGGGTATGAAGTATCCATTGAGCACAGTGTCAGCGGTGGTACTGTAACATATAAAGACAAACATCTTACTTACATCCAAGTATCAGAAATGTAGCTGACTGACCTTTTATTTGTTATTAAGTATCTAAAGCCAACACTTTTTTTTCATTTTGAATGAAGTACAAAATGGTAAACATCTTGTCAGTTTTTTTTCCATCTGTGTGGTATTAGGGAGATTTGCCTTCACTTCTTGTCCTGTAGACACAACAGGAATGAAAGGAACTCTCTCACTCTGCAACAAAGTGAGAGAACTCCCCTCTGATACAGTTGTCAACAGAACAGGTTTCCCCTTTGGAAGATTTTCCCTCTATTCCTGCTCTGGTGTCACCTCATTCATTTTCAGTCCCAGAATGAATCTCCCTAATGGGGATTCAGCAATAAAATCTAGACAGGAGTTCTATATTTATTCAAGTACTATATCTATACAAAAAAAGTTTTGCCTTTAGATACACTTTAATTGTGATATATCATTCAAATAGTACCTGCTGTACAATTCAATGATAACGCAAAGAATAAGAATTTCTACAATGCCACAAGAAAGTTACCAACTCATTGATTTATTATTTAAATACATGGACCACCGAGTTTATGTGGCTAACCTTCACAACAGATTCCCATTGGAATCATTTTTATAGAATGAGAACTGAAATTTGTATAGCTCTAGCTGGATTACCGTTAGACCTTCTATACTAGACTGTGACCAGGTCTACCAGTTTATGGCAACTAAAAACACAAAGCTGTACTCTTCCCTGAGCAGCATTTTCGCAGTTCAATATTTTTTTGCAATGAATGCTTCTTTTCAGGACCAGTTTGCTTTCAGACAACATCTAAAAGAGAGCTGCCATCTTTCTTTTGTTACATGAGGCTACATTCAGAAAGCTAACACACCAGGATAAGAATTCCTTTTTTCATAAAATTAACAGTTATTTTACAGTCACATGCCTGAAAACAAAGAGCCTTAGGCTGATATCAGATGGCCGATTATAGTACTAGAGACAAATGGCCATTGGTAGGATCACTAAAAAGGCTGCCTGTCTGCCCCTATGGAAGTGCTTCCTCTGTAGACAGATGCAGTGAGATGATGCTCTGTTGTTGGCCTGAATGCTGCTAATCTGGGAGCGACATCTCGCTGCCTCCACTACAGAGGGAGTGATTCCTTAGGGAGAATCGTGTCTATGGTATTTTTTCACAGCAACAGTATAGCTGTGTATTTATTCACACGAGGGTTCATTTATAAAAGTTCTAACTAGTGCCCCTAGATGGCCATAGGAATTTCCTACACTCGTCAATACCATCTAGGGACACTAGTTAGTGCCATCTTGGGGCGATATACACTGAGCAGAACTTTTACAAATGAACCCCTTAATATTGGTTAGTGGACCCTCTACTTTTTAAAAGCTATAGATATATGCAGCTCTCTGTTTTATGACTACACACAATTTTACTTGGGGCCTGAGGAGATCTGATTGGAGAAGGGGGGCTGCAGAGATGTGATTGGCTGGCTGAGGAGATGTGATTGGAGAAGTGGAAGGGGGGCTGCAGAAATTTTATTGGAGAATAGGGGTCTGCGGAGATGTGATTGGAGAAGGGGGGGCTGCAGAGAAGGACAGTGTCAGCACCAATTCAGAGATGATTTTAGGATCTACAGCTGAGTGATACACAAATAAGATAGATTTTTGTTGATAGTTAAGTTATTTGAATGCATTTTTAAGAATTAACTCCTGAGTTTACTGTCACTCTAAACTGTCGCACTGTAACATTCATTTTACATTTTAAATGTATTAGCATGTTATTTCTTTAAAAGATTATACCTTCTAATCTGTTAGGTTTACCGAAAAATGGCCTGTCTTAAAGCGGAAGTTAAGAGGTTTTAAAAAAAAGTGCTGCGGAGGTGTTTGCCATAATCTGCTAATAAGCACAGCATAATATACACATTCCACACTCCAAACCATGGAAAGTGCAGGGTGAAAAATGAGCCACTGTTGCATGAATTTCAGAATGAATAATGAACCTGAGATGAAAAGCATAGTAAAGCACTTTCCCATTAAAGTACAAATATTGGGTCAATCTTGTCTGATGACATTTTCACATGGACATATTTTGTTTGATGCAATTTTCGTTGAGCAAATCTTATTGGAAAATGCAAAAACCACTGTTGTAGAGTGAATGTGGAAGATCGAATCTTGACCGCAACAGGGGCAAATTTCTAATCTAATCAATAATACAAATAACCCCATAGGGTTGGACACCAGATGCACACACAAAATTAAGGTAAAACTGAAGAACACCATTATTCTTTTATTATCTCATAGAGATCATAACAATACTATATATGTAATTCACAAAGTATTCCATTATGTCATTGCAAGTATTTCATTTACATAGAACTGGTTTACAAAGTAATTGCCAACAGGACAAGAACAGACAACAAGGAAAAGTGCTAATTATGTACCAGGATATAAAAAATATGCTCATAATTTTAACGAGACCACTGTAAGAACATGATTCTGCTGATGAGATAAGCGTAATTCTTTATGTTTGTATGGCAAGACTTGGCATAATATTACACTGGTATACAGAAAATGAATACACATAGGCAAGTAGTGAAGCTTTCACTACTAACGTCCCCGAATCTTAAGCATTTGGTCGTATTTACCAAACAGCCTGTTGATTTATATTAATATAGCTTTACTAAGACTTATAGTTTATTCCTTCATATATATCATATACCAATAAACAGCTTAATTGCTGAAAGTCTATTTTCCTGTAACAGGATGATACAGTTCAGTTTGCATAGTCACAAAGGATTCATAAAAACATGAGGTTCCACCGTGATAGCAATATTAAGCCCCAGACATGATCATATTTATATGTATGCAGAAGTAACACCATAAAAATGGTGAACCAAATGCATGTAGTCCTAAATATTGCATGGAAGATGATTTGCTCATGTTAGAGTTCTACTGAGTAGCCATCATAGGAAAGCGCAGTCTGGCAGTCACAAGGTGCCGTTTGTGTTTCATGGTGAGTCCATACAGAGGGGACATATCCAGCTTCTCAACATCTTGTATTGAAAATTGCAACTGGTGGAACAGGGTGGTGAGGAAGAGGAAAACTTCAGTTCTGCCAATGGCTTCACCAAGGCATCTTCTCTTGCCCAAGCCAAAAGTCAGGACTTTCTCCATCTCAATTTTGTTTATTGATAAGCCGTCCTCATGTAGGAAGCGTTCTGGTCTGAAGTTAAATGGGTCTTTCCACAGTTTCCTAAGGTAGTAGAAGACGCAAAAGGTCTTAGTATAAAAGACAAGCAGAAAACAACATCCTGAAGTATAAAAAGTTGCAGCTATTAGAGAATCTAAAGTGTGTATTTACCATTATTTTGCCTTCTACACAAATATATTTTAACTATTGAATAGAAATCCAAAATAAAAAAAAGATACACAGTTGGACACCTGTACCCCTCAGCATCTACACATTGCTCCCAGGGCTGCACATCTTAAGGGTCGATGATGCACTTTTGGTGGTCCTGCACTATAGTAATCAGGTATTGGTCCAACATCTTTCATCTACTCTTTAGAACCCCAACCAAGAGAGACCCATAGCCAGCCTTGCCAAACAAAGCTCTACATAAAATTCAACAATAACTGGCCACCTTTGTGCTCTTTACAACCAAACTAATGCATCTGCCTGGAAGAAGCAAACCTTGTTTGTTTTTTAACAAACCAAAAACCATGTGGTTTCATGAGCAACACAAAACTCATATATATTGATAATAAATTCCTACTATCATGGACACCCTGGCTTAAATATGGGCTTCCCTCAATAAGTTCTTACTCAGGTGCTCATCTTAAATCACTATTAAAGGCATCATACATAATGGCTGATTCCGGACGGCCACGATCCACTACCATGACCCCTAAGCTACTGCTCGCGGTATACTGAGACGCCGCAGCTGAAGCGGATCTAGACAATTATGTCTGGATCCGCCCAGCTGCGTGAGTGACAGCTGGCTCTGCCTATCTAGAGGCAGAGCCAGCTGTACCCGCCCCCTCCCCCGTCCGTTCCGCCAGTCAGCGCTGACGGATGGGAGCAGGGAGGGGGGGCATTCAGCCCATCCCCTGTCACGGCAGAGAGCTGTGACAGGATCGGGAGATGAGCGAACACCGGTATGTGTTCGCTCACTTCCCGATCTACTGAGCCGACCTGTGACAGTCCTATTGTCACAGGTCGGCTAGAACTATGAGGTGAGTGAAAAGCACTCACCTCATAGTTCTCCTTTAACAAAAATAATAGAAACAACAACAAAAAAGATACTTACGGATCATGATTCACTTGCCACTGGTTGATCATCACACATATACCCTTGGGTATGAAGTATCCATTGAGCACAGTGTCAGCGGTGGTACTGTAACATATAAAGACAAACATCTTACTTACATCCAAGTATCAGAAATGTAGCTGACTGACCTTTTATTTGTTATTAAGTATCTAAAGCCAACACTTTTTTTTCATTTTGAATGAAGTACAAAATGGTAAACATCTTGTCAGTTTTTTTTCCATCTGTGTGGTATTAGGGAGATTTGCCTTCACTTCTTGTCCTGTAGACACAACAGGAATGAAAGGAACTCTCTCACTCTGCAACAAAGTGAGAGAACTCCCCTCTGATACAGTTGTCAACAGAACAGGTTTCCCCTTTGGAAGATTTTCCCTCTATTCCTGCTCTGGTGTCAACTCATTCATTTTCAGTCCCAGAATGAATCTCCCTAATGGGGATTCAGCAATAAAATCTAGACAGGAGTTCTATATTTATTCAAGTACTATATCTATACAAAAAAAGTTTTGCCTTTAGATACACTTTAATTGTGATATATCATTCAAATAGTACCTGCTGTACAATTCAATGATAACGCAAAGAATAAGAATTTCTACAATGCCACAAGAAAGTTACCAACTCATTGATTTATTATTTAAATACATGGACCACCGAGTTTATGTGGCTAACCTTCACAACAGATTCCCATTGGAATCATTTTTATAGAATGAGAACTGAAATTTGTATAGCTCTAGCTGGATTACCGTTAGACCTTCTATACTAGACTGTGACCAGGTCTACCAGTTTATGGCAACTAAAAACACAAAGCTGTACTCTTCCCTGAGCAGCATTTTCGCAGTTCAATATTTTTTTGCAATGAATGCTTCTTTTCAGGACCAGTTTGCTTTCAGACAACATCTAAAAGAGAGCTGCCATCTTTCTTTTGTTACATGAGGCTACATTCAGAAAGCTAACACACCAGGATAAGAATTCCTTTTTTCATAAAATTAACAGTTATTTTACAGTCACATGCCTGAAAACAAAGAGCCTTAGGCTGATATCAGATGGCCGATTATAGTACTAGAGACAAATGGCCATTGGTAGGATCACTAAAAAGGCTGCCTGTCTGCCCCTATGGAAGTGCTTCCTCTGTAGACAGATGCAGTGAGATGATGCTCTGTTGTTGGCCTGAATGCTGCTAATCTGGGAGCGACATCTCGCTGCCTCCACTACAGAGGGAGTGATTCCTTAGGGAGAATCGTGTCTATGGTATTTTTTCACAGCAACAGTATAGCTGTGTATTTATTCACACGAGGGTTCATTTATAAAAGTTCTAACTAGTGCCCCTAGATGGCCATAGGAATTTCCTACACTCGTCAATACCATCTAGGGACACTAGTTAGTGCCATCTTGGGGCGATATACACTGAGCAGAACTTTTACAAATGAACCCCTTAATATTGGTTAGTGGACCCTCTACTTTTTAAAAGCTATAGATATATGCAGCTCTCTGTTTTATGACTACACACAATTTTACTTTTAGTAGAACCTGTAATGCTGTCTGGACTTACCAGTGTGGAATTGTAAAGGGAAGGAAGGATGAATGACGGAACATCTCCAGGATGAAAGCATCTGTATAAGGCAGCTGAGATCTGTCTGATAATTTCGGTCTCCGTTCTCTGCCGATGACCTGATCTGTTACAGGATACAAAACACATTATTTAGACATACATTTAAAGCTGGACTGTAACAAAAATCTAGAAAATGCCATATAATGCAGCTGGCATTTATTATTTTATAATTTCATGTTAATTAGTTAACTTTTACTTCCATGTCCGTTCAGTAAATCGCTCCAGTTCGGTAATATACACACTGGTCTAAAAGGGGGGATATCATTCATGAAAATATTCGACACCCACCAGATTGTTTGTAAATGATGTCAGAGATGAGGGGGGTGTCAGGGGACACACTGTTCTATGTCACAGGGGCACACGGCAGCCACAGACATTCCCCAGAATGGGCTATCAGTAGGGAAAACTACTAGTGATTTAAAATTTAGATACAAAATACATTTTACAACATAATTGAGCATAAGAATATACAGTAAATATAGCTTTACTGGGATGGTTACCAATCAGGCTTAAAAGATCAAGACACTTAAAGGAGTGGTTATTTTTGTGGAAGTGTATATCATAACAGTCAAAAAATAATGAAATTTCCTGAAAGTTTGAATGTACTATTATAAAAACAAAAGTCATCCCTTTTCCCTCCTTTTCAATCCTTAACTTGGCATTTGCCTAAAGACAGCCAATATTTTCTATGGCAAGGGCCAACTCTATGCAATGTGAAATACTGTATTTCAGACACAGACGGTGCTCTGCAACATCTAAACATTACCTATCTCTGGGCAAACCAAACGGTGAGGAGTTTCTTATTCTGAAGTATTGGCTTAAACTAACTAATTTGATACGGAAGGTAGGTTTTTTTTAATGCACGTACTCTTTAAAAGTACAAATATATACTGTGCATAGAATTAAACATGAAAACTTCACTGATAAGCTATTGAATGCTGTTGTTTTATGCAATTCAAGTACCATGAATAGATACATAGATTGTAGCAGCAGCAAGTGAAGTGACATTCTCTTACTCATATAAAATAATCACAAATGTTGAAACTGAGATTTATTTACCTAACTGCGCGTCTGTAGTAAAAGCTATAACTGCTAAAGGGCATTTCAAATGAATTCTAAACCTGATTCAAATTATCCCTCTTCAGTCCTACATCCTATACTCTTTCACTGGCACTATTATATGTGTAACTTACCCAATTCATTCTGTAATTTGTCTTGTATTTTGGGATTAGCCACAAGATACATTAGAGACCATGACAAGGCAGTAGTTACAGTATCGAATCCTAAAAAAAAATAAAATTAAAGAGCTTAGAACATTATATTCTTATTTATTAGTAGACAATACAATACCCGATTTGGCAATGTATAAACCATGTGATGTCCATGGCATCCAAAAATAGCAACTAAAGCCAGAGCATATGTTGCCTATCCTAAAAAGCCATAGGCATCATTCATAAATGTATCTATTGTAAGTTCCTCTAGTGTGACAGAACATACGATGCAGTAATTACCACTGTATTAGCCACCTATCATTGTAGTACAACCTATAGTTTTGTGCTGTCAAAAATTCTGGAAAAGTCTGGAAAACTTCTGAGGAGGAGCCACTGCCAAACCCTTCAGTAATCCAAACAAAGTAGAATTTGTTGGTACATAATACATGAATTAAGTCTTTTTCTAGGTTTAATCTTTGTAATGGGGAAACAAGATAATCTTACTACCTGCTATGATGAACATTCAAACACTTTTTTTTTCTAGGAGAACACTTTGTGCTTTGGACCTACTAAGTATTATAAGGGTATACACTTGGATGTCTAAGTCATAGGCAGTGCTATAGTTACAGCAGCATTACAACACCACCCAGGGCTACATAGGGTAAGATAGGCATAAAAAGTATGAAAGGTTAAACTGCATAAGACATACTCATTGTCAGTGCTGCTTAGTTTATAATCATACACAAGGTGTACACTAGTACTGGAACATTTATGTAGCTACATTTTTAATATACTTCTGCAAAAACGTCACACTTACCAGCCCCAAAAAGGTCATTCACAATGTTAATAATTTTCTTCTCTGGTAGCTGCACGTTGGAGTTTTCATCTACTTTCTTCTCTTGAGAGTGCTGAATTAGAGAATCAGTAATGTCTCGAACAGCATTCTGAAAAAAAAGTGGAAAGCATTAATTATAACAAATTCTTACGGTAGGTTGTACCATTTAACAACTTCCTGAGCTATTAGCTCACATACTGGCAAATTGTGATTGCTTATATTTTATTTTGATGTAAGCATTCTTACATTTCATCTCATTTGCACGGCTTTTTGAAATACTTTTTTTTTAGGTAAATAAACCTTTCTTTATAAAGAATTTCTCTTCCATATACAATATATAAAGTAGTATCCTGTATGTGCAATATGATTGTATTGAGTTCTTACCTTATCATATGATCTGTAATGCTCCTGGACAATCTTCTGGATGAAGCTTGTAAACTTTTTGTTGATTTCTATAAAGTTCTTCATGGTCCGGCTTGGAAGATATTGAAGGATAGGGATAAAATCTGCAGGATTTCCTGATGCAGCTGCTGCTCCAAACTCATCAGTCAGGTTGACCAAGTCAAGGAAGCTTTGGTCATCATGGTTGTAGCGTTTTCCAAAACACATTGCAGAGATTACATTGGCTACAGAAACCACCATGTACCTATAGGGGTCAAATTCTCCTTTCTCTTCAATGAGTTGCTGGAATTTTCTGACAAGGTATTCTGCTTCTTTACTTATGTGTTCTTCTACCAGAGATGTACCAGAAGATGTGAGGGAGGGCGAAATGGCAAAGGTCTTAAGAGCATTATGTGCCAATCTGCGACGAGCTCTCCATACCTCACCAGAATCTTGGCTAAATGTTAAACTTTGTCCATCACCAATCAGGCGAAAGGTAAAGAGGTCAGGGCGTCCATTAAACACATCACCTTGCTTGAGCAAAGCTTGCCGGAGTGTTTGCAGTCCACTCAGCACCAACACAGGCTTTGTGCCTATCTGGATTTGAAACACATCTCCATAAGTCTCACTCATCTTGGTAAGACTGAGATGAGGATTCTTGCTTAGAGATAGCAGATTTCCTATAATTGGCAGAGGAAATGGACCAAGCAATCGCTTTGTACCATGAGGAACCCTCTGTGTGTAGGCTCTGAGGATTAGGAAAACCACAGAAAAGACCACAGAGACAAGAAGCAACTCTGTGGCCGATATCCCACTAAAGTAGCTGAACAAATTAGTCATCTTGCCTAGGGAAAAAAAAAATGGAGAAAAGTCTATAAAACACTGTAGGAAAGGAAACAGATTATAGTCTGATATTCTGCTGATAAAAGCTAGGTATTATTATTGTATATTTAAAAAGCACACAGTTTAGTATTTAGTACACAACTTGAATTTACTAAAAAAAAAAAGCTCATCTTATAAGGGTGTAATAAAGAGTAAATATCTGATAATGTTCAGTGTATTATACCCATGGGCTGACAGGACAGATATCTCACCAACAAAAATAGGCAGCCGCACATCTGTGTCATCAAATGTGTGAAGACCTGCCATGATGGAACTTGCAACTTGACCAACAAAGAGTAACAGCACATGCTGATTGGTGTCTATGACATTGAAGTTTGCCAACAAGCTGGAAAGTTCTACAAAGCCTGTTCCTCAACTGGTCATTCCAGACAGTACTCAGATCTGGTTTGCAGGGATTGGGCTGTGTATAGACACTTAAAAACACTGGGACCTGTGTCAACAGGCTATAGGCTCGTGTAAATGACATCAGTTTGAGACACTTCTGAGATCATTCAGTCTTCGGTACAATTGACCTGCAGTTGACCTCCTTCTGACCTACATTTACATACATCAGCACATTCTATTAGGCCGTTTTCTCATCACAATTTTTCATTTCATCACACATTCGTATTGTGCATATATTGAACATACAGTATATACTAGGGTGTTGACTGTTGCATTGAGAACAAGTAAAATATGTCTAAACCAGCAAACTGATTCATGCCCATTGCCAGACTAACATGGCTATAAACTAAGAATGTGTTTATACTATGCACTGGTCAACTGTAACCAGTAGGTATTTCGGCCATTTGTACTGGACTTCAGGCATTTGATGTCTGAAGATTCCCTTAGCCATTTTTCTTCAATAATTATCAAACTTGAAACCATATAAGCTTAAATCTGGCAACACTCATTATAATCTCCTGTAAAATCTCCTTTGAATTTACCAATAACTCTGTGGCTTAAGGGCCAGCTATGTAACCCTTTACAAATCATGTTGACCCTCACACTACAAAGTCATTTGTAAACCTAAAGTATATTGTACAATTAGACTGCAATATGTGTGGCAAGTGTAACATAGATGAATGAGTGTAGTGAGTTAAAGCATTCATTCTAGAATTTTCTCTGAATCCTAGATACAGTCACATACATGACATAATTCATATATGGTATATATGGTAAAGCCTGGAAACAAATTGTGTGATTTAATTACCTGACATCAAAGAAAGGGTATACATTACACAATGCGCTAAGTAGAATGTAATTCATGTTCAAGTCACAGACTGAACATTGTCTAGTTAGCCTTTGATGGTCATTTTAAGAAGATTAAAAGGTGTAGCTGCATATAATCACTAGGTTTGATTCTCCTGACACATTAACCTGTTCACATTATGCAGATCTTGACAAGTACTCTTTGATTTTGTATTTATATTGTACCATACACATTGTGATAATGATCAAGGCATAATATGATAATGACCAATCCATGCCTGACATCCAAGCGCTTGGAAAATGGTCAATCCATGTCTGACATCCAAGCTCTTGGATAATGGTTTATTCATGTCTGACATCCAAGTGCTTGGATAATGGTCAACCCGTGTCTGACATCCAAGTGCTTGGATAATGGTCAATCCATGTCTGGCATCCAAGTGCTTGGATAATGGTCAATCCATGTCTGGCATCCAAGTGCTTGGATAATGGTCAATTCATGTCTAACATTCAAGTGCTTGGATAATGGTCAATCCATGTCTGACATCCAAGCTCTTGGATAACGGTCAATTCATGTCTGACATCCAAGTGCTTGGATAATGGCCAATCCATGTCTGACATCCAAGTGCTCGGATAATGGTCAATCCATGTCTAACATCCAAGTGCTTGGATAATGAGCAATCCATGTCTGACATCCAAGTGCTCGGATAATGGGCAATCCATGTCTAACATCCAAGCTCTTGAATAATGGTCAATCCATGTCTTACATCCAAGTGCTTGACTAATGGTCAATCCATGTCTAACATCCAAGTGCTTGGATAAGGGTCAATCCATGTCTGACATCCAAGTGCTTGGATAATGGTCAATCCATGTCTAACATCCAAGTGTTTGGATAATGGTGAATCCATGTCTGACATCCAAGTGCTTGGATAATGGTCAATCCATGTCTAACATCCAAGTGTTTGGATAATGGTGAATCCATGTCTGACATCCAAGCTCTTGGATAACGGTCAATTCATGTCTGACATTCAAGTGCTTGGATAATGGTCAATCCATGTCTAACATCCAAGTGTTTGGATAATGGTTATAATGGTTTATTCATGTCTGACATCCAAGTGCTTGGATAATGGTCAACCCGTGTCTGACATCCAAGTGCTTGGATAATGGTCAATCCGTGTCTGACATCCAAGTGCTTGGATAATGGTCAATCCATGTCTGGCATCCAAGTGCTTGGATAATGGTCAATCCATGTCTGGCATCCAAGTGCTTGGATAATGGTCAATTCATGTCTAACATTCAAGTGCTTGGATAATGGTCAATCCATGTCTGACATCCAAGCTCTTGGATAACGGTCAATTCATGTCTGACATCCAAGTGCTTGGATAATGGCCAATCCATGTCTGACATCCAAGTGCTCGGATAATGGTCAATCCATGTCTAACATCCAAGTGCTTGGATAATGAGCAATCCATGTCTGACATCCAAGTGCTCGGATAATGGGCAATCCATGTCTAACATCCAAGCTCTTGAATAATGGTCAATCCATGTCTTACATCCAAGTGCTTGACTAATGGTCAATCCATGTCTAACATCCAAGTGCTTGGATAAGGGTCAATCCATGTCTGACATCCAAGTGCTTGGATAATGGTCAATCCATGTCTAACATCCAAGTGTTTGGATAATGGTGAATCCATGTCTGACATCCAAGCTCTTGGATAACGGTCAATTCATGTCTGACATTCAAGTGCTTGGATAATGGGCAATCCATGTCTAACATCCAAGTGTTTGGATAATGGTGAATCCATGTCTGACATCCAAGCTCTTGGATAACGGTCAATTCATGTCTGACATTCAAGTGCTTGGATAATGGGCAATCCATGTCTAACATCCAAGTGCTTGGATAATGGGCAATCCATGTCTGACATTGTTGTTTTTTTTTTTTTTTGTATTGTTGTTTTTTTCCATTTGTGTTTCTATTTTTTGTATTCTTGAAACTTACAATAAAAACTAATCTATTAAAAAAAAACTGCAGTTGATTGAAAAATTGACCTTTGTCAAATGGGGCTGCTGACCATGCCACACACTGGCCGAATTTTAACGAGTCAGTAGGACCCGGCTGAAGTTCAAACAGTGTATGGCCATCTTTAGTCCATCACACACTGCTTGAATTTTGGTCACCCTTTATGCAATTATTAATCAATTTTTGTCAGGTCAAAAATGTTTCCACCGAACAATGACAGTGAGTGTTCAAGTATTCTGACAGCAGCGTACCTGTCCTTCCCAGAATACAATAGCCAGGCAGGGGAACAAGAAAAAACTCCCAGTACATGGCCAGCTTTCGACTGATTGCAAGCAACAGATTTCCTATTTGGCTCAACATTTGTTAGCGGGGCTACTCCGCACTGCAAGGGTAAAGAGCTCATTTTGGTCTAGGGAGGAAAATAACAAAATTATACTCACCCAGTCCTCGGAGCTGGCCTGCTCTTAGACCTGCAGCAGTCTAAGGTCTGTGAATCATCATATTTTATACACAGTATATAGGACGTGAGGACGCAGAGGGACATACCATTACTGCAGTGGAGGGGAAGTGAGGCTGCAGGAACCAATCTATGAGCAAGCCAGCTCCAAAGATCAGGTGAGTATAACTTCGTTAATTTGATCCCTAGACCAAAATTAGAACTTAACCCTTACACTGCGGGGGGAGTCCCACCGCAATGGTTGATCAAATATGTCCCCGGAGTTCTGCTTTAAATACTCATATTTAATATTTTTTTTAAACGACAGAGCTCTGGAAGTGTGTCTTATGAACAGAAAACACTGTACAACAGGCATTTGACATCTGCCATTTGTTATGCCGTTTTGGGATTGTGTTTGACTATAGTGATTATCTGCAGCCAACCACAGGTCTAGCTCATCTACATTTATGTTTTCAAACACTTTTTCCATATTGTAATATATATGGTCTATATACAGTTTAGGTATTTTGTCCAGATCAAGCTGTGCAACATATCCTATCTACATCAAATATTTGCCATTGATAACCTCCTAATGAATATGCTTGTTGGCTGGCTAGCATGCTGACCCATAGTTTCGGAAAAATTCACTGACCAAAACCAAGGGTGCCTGCGAAAGGAACGTAAGCCCTAATCTTTACTTGCTTGAGGTCACTTACTGCAAGCAGTAAAGCCAGAAGATCATAATGACAGCCAGGAAACTAACATTTTCATAAAGAGAGAACAGTAATGGCAGAAGACCAACTATCCCATGCAACCGTTCCAATCCTATAAAGCACAAGGGCAGCTAACTTTTTGAAAAGCATTTCAAAAATACCTGTGTGGCTAAACTAGTACCATATCATGCCTGTGTGTAATACTGTATCCAGAGACCTGCTGTATCCAAATACTGTGTGATATCACCTCTTCCCTTTCCTTCTACCAGCTATTATTCAGTCAAGGCTTTAAAGAACACCACCCTCAACAACAATAGATGAAAGGGGGAAACAAGAAAAGATTATGTATGTGAGTTTCCTCCAATATGCAAGAAGAATCAGGCTGTCAGCCCACGTGTGAATTTCTACCGTGCCTGAATAACCGGTCTAATGCAAAAGTGTTACTTTTGTAAGAAAGTATAAAAAATGAGAAGCATTGTATCAAATGTGATGTGCCTGTACCTCCGAGCTCTCCTCCAGCACTCGGCATCCCCATTATATGAGAGCATATACATACAAAGCATCCAGTATGTGTATTGTA